GCAAGGACCTGCTCGGCACGCTGAGGGTAAAGAAAGCTCTGCAAACAAGGGTTTGTCACCTGGGAAGAATACAGGGATGCCATCCGGACTTGCAGAAGTGGGATCAGGAAAGCCAAGGTGCAGGTGGAACTGAACTCGGTGAGTGATGTGAAAAGCAATAGGAATACATTCTACAGGTACACTGGCCAGAAGAGACAGGTCAAAACAAGTGTACCTCCTTTGGTAAATGTAAAAGGAGAACTGGCTTCAATGGACTAAGAGAAGGCTGAGGTACTGAATGAGCTCTGCCTCGGTCTTCACTAGCAGCCAGGATTCTAGTATTTCTCACGTCTCTGAACCCTGCATTCCTAAAACTCTAGGTAGGACTGGGGTGGTAAATCCCCTCCGACTGTAAAGGCAGAGCAAGTTCCGAGACTGCCTGATGAGCCTGAATGTGTACAAATCTATGGGGCCAGATGGCGTGCATCCCAGGGATCTGAAGGAGCTGGCTGAGGTGATTGCCAAGCTGCTCTCCATCATATTTGGAAGGTCGTGGCTGTCAGGTAAGGCCCTGGATGACTGGAGGAAGGGTCACATCACTCCCATTAACAAGAAAGGAAGCAAGGAGGACCCAGAGAACTACAGGCTGGTCAGTCTCACCTCTGAGCCTGGGAAGATTATGGAACAGATCCTCCTGGATGACATGCTTGATCACATGAGGAATGAGCGTATGATCTGAGACAGCCAGCACGGCTTCACCAGGGGAAGGCCATGCTTAACCAATCTAGTGGCCTTCTATGATGGAAAGGAGACTGATGTCATTTACCTGGACTTGAGCAAGTCCTTCAACACGGTCCCCACCACATTCTTATCTCCAAATTGGAGGGACATGGATTTCATGGGTGGACACTCGATGGATGAGAAATCAGTTGAAAGGCTGCAGACACAGGGAGGTCATCAATGGTTCTATGTCCAGGTGAAGGCCAGCATTCCCCAGGGCGTCTGTCTTGGGACCGGTGCTCTTTAACATCTTTATTAATGACATCGATGACGGAATTGAGTGCACCCTCAACAACCTTTCTGATGACAACAAGCTGAGTGGTGCAGTTGATATGGTGGAAGGAATGTGGTGGCCATTCAGAAGGATCTCAACAGGCTTGAAAGGTGGGCCCGGGTGAACCTGATGAGGTTCAACACAGCAAAGTGAAAGGTTTGGCACCTGGGCCAGAGGAATCCTAGGCATCCGTACAGACTGGAAGGAGCAGTCCTTGAGAGAGGTCCTGCAGAGAAGGACATGGGGGTCCTGATGGATGAAAAACAAAACATGAGCCAGCAGTGTGCAGCTCAGAAAGCAGATGGTATCCTGGGCTCCATCAGAAGACGGGTGGCCAGCAGAGACAGGGAGGTGATTGTCCTCTCTACTCTGCTCTTGTGAGGCCCCATCTGGAGTACTGTGTCCAGGTCTGGAGCCCCTAGTACAAGAAAGACAGAGAGCTGTTGGAGAGGGTCCAGAGGAGGGCCACAAAGATAAGATGATCAGAGGATTGGAGAAACCCCCTGCGAAGACAGACTGAGGGAGCTGGGCTTGTTTAGCCTGGAGAAAAGAAGGCTGCGGGTTGACCTCATTGCAGCCTTTTAGTACCTAAAGGGAGTCAACAAATAGGAGGGGAGCCAACTCTTTGAAAGGGTGGGTATCAGCAGGACAAGGGAAGTGGTTTTAAGTCGAGGGAGGGAAGATTTAGGTTGGATGTCAGGAGGAAGTTCTTTACAGAGAGTGGTGAGTCTGCCCAGAAAGGTTGTGGATGCTCCGTCCCTGGAGACATTAAAGGCCAGACTGGATGGAGCCGGGGCAGCCTGGTATTAAATGGGGAGGTTGATGGCCTTGCCTGTGGCAAGGAAGGCTGCAGACTCATGATCCTTGAGATCCCTTCCAACCTGGACCATTCTGTGATTATGTGAAACAAGCACCATTAATAAAAATAGGAAAATATACACTGAACAACCCCTGTCACACACAAGATTGGTGATGCCCCAACAAGTGCCTGTATGTTGTGTTCTTTCTATTTTTGTTGTTGGTATATCACATCATAACATCATGTAAAACAGTGAGAGTTACAGAGTTAATTGTTCTGATTCTGTGGATTGCCTTTTTGGGGGCATTTTTGGTTCTCGCAAGGGAAAGGAGGAGCAGCGCGGCATTCTTGGAAGACTTCTCACACAGAGGAAGGAAGGTGGAGCTCCTGGCAGTACACCAGCCACCTCTTGCTCACTCAGCTTGCTGGGAAGAAAAGCACGTGCTTCCCCTGCAGTCTACTAGCATAAGACCTCATATTTGGACACTCTTTTCTCTCTCATTTCCTTTGATTTTGTTGGACTCAGTAAATTACTGTTCCTCCTCAGATTGTTGCTGTTGCTTTTTTTTTTTTAGACTTATCTGCTATGTTCCTACCCTCCCCCCTCTCCTCCTCTCCCAGAGTGCACAGCCCTCAGATGCCTTGCCTCATTAGTCACAGGGCCTCATCCCACCCCAAAAAGTTAATACTTTTTTTTTTCCTCTCTCTTTTGTCTCCTTCCAGGCTTGTGCCATCATGGACACAGATCTAGGGATAACTCTGTGACACTGTGTTGCCCATCCCTTACTCAAAAAATACCATCACACCCTTGTCAAGATAAAACTTTTTCAAGAAACTAAAATGAGAGTCTTTGAAGGGTTACAAACGTTACTCCTTTGAAGTGGTAAAATCCATTAGAACAAATTACATTTTGAAATGCTGTTCCAGTTTTCTTTTCCCTAGAGGAATTTAAAAAATTAATTCAAACTACTAAAATCCTTCTGTTTTTTTTACATACTAAGTTCTGTGCATTTCACTTTCTCCCCAAGATCAAAGGAAAAAATTAAACTACATAAAACTATTGTAAAGTAAGACAGAGAAAACTTTAGTGGCAAGAAACATGATTCTTATTTCCTATTCAAAACTGCAAAAAACCTGACAAGTTTTGTTGTAAGTACAGTTTCTCTTTTGTAAATGAATGCGATTTTGATTACATCTATACTGTCATATTGCTACCAATATAGGTTGGTTTGGTTAGCAATAGGAATTAGTACACTAATTTAAGAACCAATGTATTAGTGAAAGGAATCCATAAGTGATAGTTCTAAAATTTTCCATTTCAGCTTTCATGATGAATAGCCTTGTTTTCCTCAATAACTCTGCAGTAAGAAAATAATAGAATAATTTCATCTTTTGCCTCAATGATTTTGCCTTGCACGAAGCAATGGAGTCACAATAGAATACTTGATATAATCTGTCTCAAAACATGCAAGGACACTTTCCTCAGGCTCCACATTATTGCTTTTAAAAAGTGGCTCATCATGGCCTAATAAGCAATGGAAATCTTCCGAAGTGGGGAAAAGTGGACGAAAGTAAGTCGAAGATTTAGTGATAAAGTGAAAAATGGGAAGAAGTGGGTGAGCATTCGACCACTTGAGATACCACTGAGCATACTCTAAGGGATATTAGCATATTATGAGTCCTTGAAAAAGAATGAATATGTGTGCCAGTGTACTGCATATGTATGTCTCAACTGTTCAAATGCAGAGCTTGAGAAGTTGTGCTTGCGTACCATAAGAAATAAAGGAATGCCACTTTCTAACACTGCGCTGGAGTTGGAGAGTTTTCTTCCTGGATTTTGGATGACAGTATGTCTTTAAACTTAAAATGCTGATGCAAATAAGGAGTACTTTATATACACAAACATATATATATACACAATATATATTGCCTTTGCAATTGATCATTCCTATGAAAAGCAACATTCCTTTGAGACGATTTATTAAAACTACTTGCAGAAGTCACATTTGAAATTAGTATATGTTTCAAATGACAGACAGCAAATTAACATTAGTGGAAGCTAGTGACATGTAAAAACAATAAGTTACCAAAAGTTTTCAAAGGAATTTTCCTTCATTGGGTGCTTCAGTTCTGAATGAATTCGGCAAGTACTTGAAAGCAGCAAAATGGGTATTTTTAAAGATGACTCCCTTTCCCAATTTTACCCAATAGTATTCATTTGATTTATTGACATTTTCAGAAAAGCAGTGATTCAGAATGATTGATTTTAGGTAATGTACTACATCATGCATCTACAAAGTTTTTTACTGCGCTGGCCAGTCATGAGTTTAATTTCACTACACAATAAAAATGGCAATTCTACTTCTCTCTGAAAACGTTAAGTAATTTCACGGAAAAAAAAAAAAGGTCTAATTACATAGAATGATTTGCATTACTTAAATAGTAAAAAAAAAAAAAAGACTGAACTGGTTTTGTTTCTAAAGGGCCACACAGAAAAACACAGAACAACTCTTCACCACTTCATGCTTTTACTGCATCATTGCTGATAATCCTCACTTCAGAGTACGCTAGACTGCAATTGATTGCAATCTATCAAACTGCAAAACTTCAAATAAGCCCAAATGGTCATAAAGCATGCTTACTCACATTCTGCACTTATGTGATTATAAAATACTTATGACTAATTTTCAGTTTAGATAAGACAGTAGCAGCAGTCTATAGACAAACTTTTTTGTAGTGCTTAACAGAGGCTCTTCTACAATTTTTGATGAAGGTACATCAAACTATAAATACAAGCGGTATACATTTCTTTCTATTTGTTTCAGTACTTCAGGGATAAACAGAAGAAAAAGTCTCCTGTGAAAACGTCAGTGAAGGTCTACAACAAACTCATTTTTTTCCTCCTTTTAAGGAGGTGTTTAATTTACAGCTCCATTAATATTTTTTACATTATAAACTTCTTATATGCACGTCTGTATTGTTAAATTAAATCTGCTTGAGTCTTTTTGTCAGCTTCTGTAACATGAGTAAACACTCTTTTAAGACACAAGTAGTAACACCTGTATAAAGACACTGAGACATAAAAACTATTTATAAAAGCAAGAATATTTTTTACCTACTGAAAGCAAACAAGCAAACAAAATCCATAAAACTGAAAAGGAGGCTTACCCGCATCAGCTCTGGATCGCTGACCTGGTGATTTTCCAAATGGGGTCTTCATTCATCTGTGTTTAAGTGAGCAGCAAAGCTGCTGGACTAGGGTGAAAATCCAGTTCTTCCCAGCTTTCAGGAGATCTCACTCTTCAAAGAGAAACTGCTACTTAATCCACTATTCAATCATGAATTTGTTCTTCTTCAAAAGCAGAAGACACACTCTGAAAAACAAAATAGGCAAAGCACTAAGTTGTTTGATTTGAAACGTAACTTGAAATAAGCATTCATGGCTGAATGAGTCACTGGTTTGTAAAGACCTGCAGAAGTTCTTGGTGATTTTCTATACCTAAATTCATCTGATTCCTGAAGTATTTAGTCATCACATTCATCTAGATAATCAAGGTGATAACTAAGGACTTCTAGAAGTTCCATTTAGAAGTTAAATTAAAGAAACCTTTTTATTACCTAGAAATTTGAAGAACTGTTGGTCAAAAAGGCAACATTATTCCAATTTAGAAGAAGGGCACAGCAAAAAGCCTTGAAATTACTGGCCTGTTACTATAAATTCACTGCCTGAAAAAAACTGCACTTAAAGGATACAGCAATCACCAGACACGGGTTCTTGAAAGGAAAAGCCTGTCTCACTAATTTGATGACTGTCCTAGTTTCAACTACGACAGAGCATAGTATAATGCTGTACTCTGGCTTCAGAAGTAAAACAATACTGATAACACACAGATATTTTACAATTTTTTAATTGTTACTGAGTTATGCTACACAGAGCCAAGGACATTTCATCTTCACATACTGTCACATGTATAAGGGAAATGCTGAATCACAGCCTGAACCTCTAATTGATCACCTGAGGCAAGTAATGATTCAGCCCTGGGAGCAGAGGTGAAGGCAATTCACCTGTGCTGCAGGAAGGGGTGGAGCCTGGCTCTACCTCTCCTAGACCCATTTAAGAGATGACGACCGTAGGAAAGGATCTCTTTCTGGAGATCTGTCCTTTGGAGTTTTACAGTGAGCCTAGGACAAGGGTAAGGTATTTATTCTCTTTTTTGCTATAATAACTGCTTAGCGAAACTCTCTTGTTTATTTCATAATTATAACATCTATATATTCATTGATTATATACACATATCAGTGAGGGGGCTGACAGGGCACAGAAAGATTGGAGGGGTCAGAACCAGGATAACTGACCTTAGCAGGCCAAAAGTATATTCCGTACCATATGGCATCATGTGGAAAAACTATAAATCTGTGGAGGCTTTTGCAAGGAGGGGCAGCTGCTGCTTAGAATGGCTGGGCAGGTGGTGAGCAGCTATGCATTGCATCATTTGTTCTGCAAATACACATAAATATTACTTGTATATGTATTACTTCTGCACATGTTATCATTGCTGTTATTTCTCTTTTCCTAGTAAACAGTTTTATTTCAACCGATGAGCCCTACTTCCCCACCACTGCCCTGGTTCATTCAACCATCCCACAAGACTGAGCAAACAGCTGAAAGGGTGCTTAGCTATCTGTTGAGTTAAACAAACAATAAGATAACCCAGTTAGTAGGTGAAAGCAAGGTGGTAGATGCAGTTTTCCTCAACTTTATCTTAGACTAGGCTTTCTGTTGAAAGGAGCCGCGGGAGACAAGCCTCATGCTATCATGGTCAGCAAGTCACGTTTATTGATTACCAAAGATTCTCTTTTATACAGGTCTTAATAATCCTCATACATAGTGCGAAAGCGAGCTCATCATTGGTGCTTAAAGCTGAATGCCAATCCCTCCCATCTTATGCCTGTTCTTCATTCCTTAGATATTGCTTCTGTTTCTTTGTATCCACCATGTCCTGTGTCCTTGCTACGTTCACAATTTAGACAAGCTAGGTTCTGTAACCCTCCAGCTCGTGATCAGTGAGCGGTACCCTGCTTATGTGCCCTTTGTCACGTAGCCATTCCTCCACAGCTTTCAACACTGTTTTCCACAGTATCCTTTTGGACAAAATGTGATGAATTGCCTGTAAGGCTTGCTGTCAATGGGGCTACAAGTGGCTGACAAACAGTTGCTAGCATCGTTCCCCCATGCACAACTTTGGAGCTATTTTCAACACTCCTATCAGTTATCCAAAAAGAAAAGTTGAAGACAGCCTTATGAAAAATTGCCTGACAATACTATACTGGCAGGCAGTATTGACTTCCTGGAATAACAAGAGGCTCTGAAGAGGGATCTAAGTAGATGGGAACACTGATCAATCAGCAACAAAATGAAGTTCAAGGCAAGAAAATGCTGAGTTCTGCACCTAGGATGGGATTATGCCAAAGACAGACGGAAATGAGTGGTAGGAAGAGCAGCTCAGCAGAAAGGGACCTGTGGGTGCTGGTGACAGGCGGGCTCACCATAAGCCAGGAGTGTGCCCAGGCAGCCAAAGGACAAACCACATTTTGGGATACATTAAACACAGCACAGCCATTAGTCAAAAGAAGTGAGTTTTCCACTACAGTCAGCATTGGTGCAGCCTCACCTTGAATACTGTGCGTGCAGTTCTGAACTCTATAAAATAACAAGGATGATAAAGTACTTGTAAGTTTCCAGAGGAGGGTTGATAAAAGGGCTGGAAGGCACATCCTACAGGGAGATTCTGAGGACACTTGGGTTACCCAATCTGGAAAGGGGAGGCTCAGAGGCATCCTCCTTGTCCTTTGTAAGGAAAGGAAGCCTAGAGGGAAGCAATCATCTCTTCTACTTGTCATTGATGGCAGGATGCGGTAATGGCATAAAGTTCTACCAGGCTCAGACTAGAAATCAGGAAAAACTTGGGGTTTTAAAAACTATTTTTCTGTGTAAGTGTGGTGAAACACTGGAATGGGGTTCCTAAGGTTGTTGACTCCTTGTGTTGGTGTTTAGGAGGCACCTGGTTAACACTTAGGTTAGGATGAACCATCACAGAATCCTTAGAGTTGGAAGGGACTTCTGAGGGTCATCTAGTCCAACTCCCCTGCAATAGACACGGACACCACAGTGAGATCAGGTTGCCCAGGGCCTAATACACCCTCACCGTGAAAATCTCCAGGGAAAGGCACCAACATCACCACTGGGCAACCTGTTCCAATGCCTCACCACCTCATTGTAAAATATTTTTTCCTTAAAAAAAATCTAACCTAAACCTACAGTCCTTGAATTTGAAACCATTTCCCCTTGTTCTATCACTACAGATACTGCTCAAGAGTCTGTTCCTTTCTTTCTGTAGCTCCTCGCTCAGCACTGAAAGGCTGCTACCACCTTGCACACTGCAGCTTTCTCAGTCTATTCTCATAGAAGTGTTCCATTCCATGGCCCATTTTTGCGGCTCTTCACTGCACATGTTTCAACAACTCTATGTCCCTCCCACACCGAGAACTTCGTATTTGGATGTAGAACTACAGCTGATTTCTAACCAGCACATAGCAGAGAGTCAAGATCATCTCCTCTGGCCTGTTGGCCATGCTTCTTTTGATGTAGCCAGGATACAGTTGGCTTTCTGGGCTGCAAGGGCACACTGCTGACTCATGGTTAGCTTTCATCCACCAGTACTCCAAAGTCTTTTTCTACAAGGCTGCACTCAATCCTTTCATCTCCCAGTTTGTATTGATAATTGGGGTTGCCTTAAACCTGGTGCAAGACTTTACGCTTAGATTTGTTGAACCTCATGAGATTGACCTGGGCCTGGACTGCTCAAGCCTGTCTAGGTCCCTCTGGATGACATCCAATTCCTCTAGTGTTTCAACCGCATCCCACAGCTTGGGGTCATCAGCAAATTTGCTCAGGCTGCACCTGACCTCACTGCACATGTCACTGATGAATATATTAGAGTGTATTGGCCCCAGCATCAAGGTGTCCCTGGGGGACACACTCATCACTGATCTCCACCCAGACACTGAGCCATTGATCACCATTCTCTGGACTCAATCCTGCAATCAGTTGTTCATCCATTGAACAGACCACCCATCAAATCCATATTGCTCCTATTTGGAGAGAAGGATGTTGTGGGGTACAGTGTCAAAGACCTTAGTGAAATTGAGATAGATGACATCAGTGCAGTAGTGCATCACTGCATTAGTAGACAAGGACTGTTCCCTTGTCCACTGATGCAGCAACACCATCATAGAAGGCCAGTAGGTTGGTCAAACAGCTCTTAGTGAGGCCATGCTGGTTCTCATGTATCATTTCCCTGCCTTCCACATGCCTTAGCATAGTTTCCAAAATGATCTGTTCCATAATTTTCCCTGACACAAATGTGAGACTGACAGGTCTGGTAGTTCCTGGAGTATTATTTTTCACCCTTTTTAATGATGGCTATTGTCACGGTTTTATGATTTTTGGCTACCAGTATTCCACACCATAACATCATGTAATGCACTGGGGGGGGTTGACTTCCGCCAAATGTTCGTCCGATGGAGAAGAACTACATTTCCCCAGGAGGCTTTGCGGTCAGCAAGGAGATATAACTTTGTGCAAGGTCACCTGACTCGCTTTGCCGCCTGCTTTTCTTCAGTCACTCCACTGGACTGCACTTCTCACCTCAGCACTGTGGTGAGGTCTATCTACCATTCAGGCAGACTCTCTCTCTCTCTCATTGTATTTTTTTGCTAATACTGTATTTAGTAAATGATTTGTTCCACCTCAGATTATTGCTGTTGTTTTCAAGTATTTTGGAGTCCCCTGTTTCCCCTTTCCTGGAGGTGCGGATCCGCAGATCCCTCCGCCCTGCTGGTCACGGAACCAGGCCGAACCAGCCTGTAAACCGCTGACGGGTATGATGTTACCTTTTTTCTAGTCACCAGGGACTTCACCTGATTGCCACATCTGGCCAAATATCATTGAAAGCAGCTTGGCAACTACATCAGCCAGGTTCCCTCAGGACTCTGGGATACATCTCATCATAACTCACACAGTTGTGGATGTTCAGGTTCCTCAGGTGGTCACAAACCTGATTTTCCCTTACAGTGGGAGGGATCTTGTTTCCCCAGTCCCCTCCTACAGAACCAAATGTTTGAGGGCTATGCAGTGAGCACTTATCGGAGAAGACTAAGGCAAAAAAAGTTGCAGAGTACATCAGCTTTCTCCTTCTCTGCCATTACCAGTCTGCCTGTGTTACTCACTAACGTAAGCATGACCTACTGGACCTTCCTTTTCTGGCTGAGGTACCTGTAGAAGCCCTTCTTACTCTTTTTGGCATCTCCTGCAAAGTTTAGTTCAAGCTGGGCCTTGGCTTTTCTGACCCCATCCCCTACACAGCTTAGCAGCTTCTTTATACTGTTTGCTGTGGAGGATTGGCTCAAAGACAGTGGTCATATTTTCCTGTCCTTGGACTGTTGCGAGCAAAACAGTGCGTGGGCTCAGGGATGGTACCCCTGATTAAGCCAAGTTGAGGGAGTTGGTAACAAGGGCAGGAACATGATAATGTCTGTTCTGGAATGGCATCTAGAACTGAAACTTTCTGTAAGTGTAACCGTGGAAACGCAATTACAAGTACTGCTAATACTAGCATGTATAAAAATACACTCATCTAAACAATAAATGAGTCATTCCGCACCTTAACCATACTAGTGTATGGTGCTATGGTATGATTTCCAAGTGCACCGGGAAACTCCAGAGGAACTCTCTACAGTTCCCCAAGAACCTGTCCTTGTCATTACAGCCAGTGCATTTTCTTCTTGCTCTTCAGTTTGATCAGCAGGTCCTGGTTAAGCTGGTCTCCTGCCTTTCTATACCAGAGGATGAGAGCTCTTGTGCCCTGAGGAAAGCTTCCTTTAAGGTAGGCCAGCTCTGCATTTAGCTTCCTAATTTTACACTTCATCTCATATCTCTCTGGAGTGTGAACTCATGTTCACTACAGCCCAGACAACCTCCAATCCTGATGTCGCCAATTAGTCCTTTTAAATTGGTGAGCAACAGGTCCAGTATTACATCTCTCCTGGTGGGGCTATTACTTGACTTAGGAAGTTATCCTCAATATGTTCCAGGAGCCCCCTGGATTACCTGCAGCTTGCCATGCTACTTTTCCAGCAGATATCTGGGGTGGGTGAAGTCCTGCACTTGCGACTGCAATGACTCCTGCAGTTGGAGGTAGAAGGTCTTATCAATAGGCCCTGCTGATCACAAGGCTCCCTTTGCTGTCTTGGACTCTCACTCTTAGACTTTTGACTTGCTTTCAATTGTTCTTTAGGGACAGCTCTTCACATACTATTCCCTTCCTGATGTAGATAGCAACACCCCCTCTTCTCCTTCCCCATCCATCCATTCTAAAAGCTGGTAGCCTTTGACAGCCACACTCCAGTCACGGGAACCACTCCACCAGGTTTTGGTGATGACAAATATATTGTGGTTTTCTGGTAGCACGGTAGCTTCCAGTTTCTCCTGTTAGCATCCCAAGCTGCATGCATTGGTATAGAGGCACTCCAGGTGGGTAGCTGGTCTTGCCACTTCCCAAGAGGATAACTCCATAACTCCTTTTAGGCATTTCCCTTGATTTTTCCCAGTGTCTTCTCCTGTTGTCCCAGCAGTCACTGCCTCATCATGACAGAGTTTTGTATGTGCTGCAGTGTTGCCAGCACCTCTTATGGCAGCAGGTCCTCCAAGGCCCCTGCCAGCACTCTCTCCCACACCTTATAATGGGAAGGCTCACTATCCTTTCCCATCTCCTTCACACCTAGTTTAAAGCCCTCCTAATGAGTCTCACTACCTTTTCCCTTAGGTTCCTTCTTCCTCTCTGAGAAAGGCAAACCCCATCTGCTGCCTACAAACCTGGTACCATGTAGACTAAATGGTTGTCAAAAGAAACCCAAATTCTAGCGATGGCACCAGCCAAGAAGCCAGGTATTTAAAGACAAGATCCTCTGGTTTCTTTCTGGGTCCTTACCCAATACCCATCCTTTTAGCCCCATTTTCTTAAGAAACATCATTGCTGTAACACTCTCTATAATCTGCTCATTAGAAGCTGGCCTTTTCCCTTTTACTTCAATTTTGGAATTTGCTATGAATTCTGACACGCTGGTTAAAAACAGAGTACCAGTGACCAGAAAACCAGTGACCTATCTAAGAGGCAATGTGTATCTTGTTTACGTCTTACTGAAAAACAAGAGAACAGACATGCCTCGAGGTATGATACAAGTGTTACGCAGAAAGATCCACCTGTATCTAACAGCATTTGCCAGTTCTTCCATGACTAATATTCCTTAAATTCTAGGCATATTAGAACAATACAGGGGGTGCTCCCTGGAATAATGAACAAGACAGAGATAAGACTACATGCTCATTTTTGGTGTTCTTAGTTTGTCAACTTGCAGTTTTTGGAAAAATCTGCGTTTGGAAGAAAAGAACTACAGCAGACATTCAGTCATGAACCTGTACAAATTTCTGAAGTTAAAACTCAAAATTCTTTAAAGGACTGTCTTTTTTCCACATTTCATCTCTTCTGCAATCTACCACTGTATACACAACAATGCCAAAGAATACAAAGCAATTTTTTTAATCGCTTTTCTAAAATGCAGTATAATTTTTCCTTACTACACTAAAAAACCACTGTATTGGAGATTAAAATATTTTAGAACAGAAGCATTCCTGATCATGAAAACAAATTCTGAATTCACAGACATGCTCAGATATATTACCAAACTGACATCACAAGCACTGCATGTAAACTTTTACATGTAAACACCTTTTTACATACCGTACATACAGAATCAATCTACTATTCTACTAAAATGTATGACATATTGTGCTTATTTTTCCCCCAGATTCTTAGTCAATGGCAAAAATATTATGTACAACATATTTTAATTTAATCAGTTGTTAAGAGGCTATATTTACAAAGGTAACTAAAGCACCAGAAAACCTTTGACATGTTAATGAAAAGAGTTAGCCCCAGTCACTACCACATCATACATATTAATTTTCTTTTAAAAAGAAAAGGAATTCCTAATCCTCTTATAGTCAAAATCCATTTATTAGCATTATTTCAGTCCACTCTGCTAAACTAAAGGCTCAAGACTACTGAAGTACTGAGTAGTGAAGAGCTGATTCAACAGTACAACAAGTTTTCTAAAATCAGAGTAACTTTACTTAGACTTATATAAGATTTCTGCTGGAAAACACGGAAACAAGTTTTTCTAGAGTTACTATTCTGAATTCAATTTACATTTCAGTTTCAATGTCTTCACCACAGGAGGGATAAAGTCAGGCTTTCTTAGGACAAACAAATGCACTTTGAGAACATCTTGAATTCTAAAGCATATGAAACTTCTCAGTCTCATCTGATTTAAAAAAAAAAAAAACAATGCATTTTTAGATTGTTAATATGATGAATGGTAAAACATAGTTAATACCATCATCTAAATATTTAAGGCCATTAATATGGAAAATCAAGGAGAAGAAAAATTTCATAAAATGAAAACCCTTTATTACAACCACATAGCAAGGAAAGACAAATAGCTCTACTGAATGCAGACTTCTACATCTAAAACAAACTATACTATACTTTTACACATTGCCGGTAACTTTTATTAGAGAAGTGTCACTGCCTACCTATTAAATACTGCTTTCCCCAAACACCTGACAGCAAAGGTCACCAACAACTCAGCTGCAGATTTAAAAAAAAAAGCATTCTTCTGACTTGTAATCAGCTGCAACTCATTTTTTGCTTCCCTCTGATCCCATCCACTCCTGACTTTCCTAGATAAGAGCACACCTGCAAAAAACAATATGGAAATTAGATACGTTGTCTGATACTGCTTTGGTTATTGCAGTGTTTCACACAAGAAATGTTAAGCATTAGGATTAAAACCAGGAAGCCCCACAAACTACACAAGTCACGCAGTTTTAAAAGGACAGTAAAATCATCCTATCAGAGTGGGGAAGAAGATGAATCAACTTTAAAAGAAGTACTTTTCCAGCAAAAAAGTGAAAGGAGGAAAAAACCAAGATGCACTTACACCATGCTTGCAGGCATTTAACAGCCCTCTATAAATACTTACTTATTTATAGAAATGAAAACATTACAAGTTTTCAGCTCTGTAAAAATAAATACTTTAAATAATTTTCTAGCTAACTTTCAGTTGATGTTCATTTTAGCTTTTCCACCAAATGATACACACTTCACTGCAATACACAGCACAAAACCTGTTTATTGCATTCTTGTGAAAGCAAGACTATGCTACCACCACAGAAGAGGGGTACTATGCAGCACCAAAATACTGCAGTGATAATTAATGCTAATAAACACAACTTTGAAAGCTTCAGCCCTGAGCAGTATTACCTAACCTTTAATCACCATGAACACAGAAGGAAGCAGCATCAGTAAATTTGCTGATGCATCTATTCAGTCAAAGGGGAAATGCTTAAAAAGAGACAGAGAGCGATACAACATGATCCTTCTTTAACTCAGGATACACAATTGTAGATTCAGAACATACATCTCTCATATCAACTAAAGTCTTCTGGCTTCCAGAGTCTGCTCCAGCTCTAAGAGCAGTAAGGGAGAAGGCCTTCTGGTACCACCTAGGGGACTCTTAACATTTCAGTTCAGCACTGAAAACATTCCCCTTGCTTGCAGCTCCCAATCGGTTTGCACTGACAGTCTGCTCAGCAGTGGCAGCAACATGTCAGAAGACATGTAAGGACAAGGACTCACTCTAAAATGGCACATGTTGGTTGAAGGAATTTCTTGGTTCCATAACATTTTAATCTCTGTAATTCAACTCTGAGCTGCTAGTATATACCACATGTGAACTAAACATGACTTCAGCACTAATTAGTTGGATGAGGCAGGTATCTTACTTAGACTTGAACTCTAGCATTGGAGCAGGAATGATTAATCCCATGCAATCTTCCCTCTCCAAAAGAGGATATTAATGTTAAAATATCCCCTGTATAATTGGGGGGATAAAAACACACGCCTACTTCTAGTTTATCAAAAACACAAAAACTAATAACATCATCTTAACTTTTCTGTTTTGTGAGAATTTAGCCATGCAAATTCTAAGGCTTTCTTGAAGTAATCTGCAGGCTCATCAGCCTCTCTCTTGTTAGGAACTTTATTCCCTTATCAGTAGGATTCTGGAGGAGTGATAACATCTAACAGGAAAGATAATAGGTACATAAACCTGGTGAACACAAAGGTGATTTTCAGCTTACAGTCATGAAGAGCAATACATTTCAATAATGGATTTTTTTTTAATCAGTTCACAAACTAAATCAAGTATTACTTTTTGACAGCAGCGTCTACAGTTTTTCCTATATTCGTAGGTGCATTGTTATTTGTCTAGAACTGTACAGAAACAAATAATACTGGCATACACCTGCACATTCACATATATAAAAACAAAATACACATTTAAAAAATAAATTTTCTGTCTACAATGCTATACTGACGTAGCTGATGATTCAATAGAAAACTGAAAGAACATGAAATGTAAACAACCACTTCTTGCCAATAGGAATGGCTTTTGTTAAGAATGGGGCTGTAAATACTGCACTTTCTGTACAAAGGGAAAGAAACACTGCTTTTTTCTTTGCTTTAGGAAAGATGCTTCAAAAAAGCAATGTACTATACAAAGACAACTTTCTTAAAAGCTAACATAATAAAATACACTCTACTATCAACACAGACAAAAAATCTGTAATTATTCTGGAGCTAAGTGCTGAAAGGTAAAAACACCTGTAAAGTTCTGCACTTCAAGTTTGTGGACAATGCAGAATGCAGGAGACAGCACAATACAGTTTCTATTTATTAATTCTTTTAAAACATTTTAGCATAAGCAACTGGATAAAGATTAGCCATAATCATAGAAACATAGAATCAGCAAGGTTGGAAAAGATCACTGAGATCATCTTGCTCAGCTGTCCACCTACCATCAGTGCTGTCTATTCCTTGATACTGCACCTGCACATTTCTTGAACACCACCAGGGATGATGACTCCACCAGCTGGGCAGCACCTGACCACTCTGAGAAGTTTTTCCTAATACTCAGCCTGAATCTCCCAGGCACAACTTGAAACCATTCCCTCTTGTCCTATTGCTAGAAGAAGAGGCCTACTCCCACCTCACCACAATCTCCTTTCAGGCAATTGTAGAGGGCAGTAAGGTCTCTCCTGAGCTTCCTCTTCCCCAGACTAAACAGTCCTGGCTCCCTCATGCCATTCCATGTCACTGTCCTGTCACTGTCACCAGAGAGCAGAGAGCTCCTGTCCCTCTGCTCCTGAGTGAGTTCAAGTACAAGGTAATTTGGCAGAAAACAAAAGCCTTTGCATTCCAGCTTGTCCTCAGGTACAGGAAGGGCTAGGGATTCTAGACTTTCATTCTGAATGATGCCCAATTCAGAGTTAACAGTCTGGTTGTATTCAATATATTGGCTACCACAATTACAGGTGTACTAACAATACATTTTCAGATTACTAGCATTCACCGAACTCCCACAGCCATACTTAAGGAATTTGGTCACATTGAATAAAAACTGTCATGCCTAGATTAATGAATAGTATCTATCTATTGCTTTAATAAACTACAGATTTGTTGGCTTACCAGTTCACTGTCTGCAAAGCACATGCAAAGACATGAGAAAAATACATCCTGGACACAAGCACATGAAGTTATAGAACAATACAGAGATTTCCAAGTTTTCCAGGGAAACTCTTGATATAACCAAGTGTTTGAATCTTAACCCAAGGTGTTCCTATAGGGGTGAAAGAGGATCAGCCTGTTAACTGATATCATAAGTTAAAGGTAGACTGTGCCTGACATCCAATGGTATTTCCCTGCCATCTACTCTCTCAAGCAATTTTTTTTTTACTATTTCTAGTATTTCAGGTGGAGCCTGAGTGACTGTATTGATACACACCTTTGTTACGACTACTGCAAAATTTTCTTGCTTTGCATAGACAGAAGACCTCAGGGCGCAACTTAAATGAGAAGTGGTCAAACCGTATTAACAGGTAGCTTTTCGGGATGGAGGTGTGTTTTAGCTGTATGAGATTGTAGTGAACAGAGTTCACCCAAAAGATGGTATTCTGTCAAAAAATAACAGTCTATCAGTACAAAGTGACAAGGTGGTGTCACAGAGCCTGGCTGCAATGCCTTCACTCCACCCTCCTGCTGTTTCTCTTACAGTTAGCACATCAAGCTCTATGATGCTGCCAACATCTAAGGTTGCCTAGGGAACTTCTGCAAGGAATGGATTCCTTGCATACCAGCTGCACTATGTTTTTGTACCTTTCCTTGATGAATGAATATAGCTATACCTTCAACTTAAGTTTAAATTCCAAGTCACCTCTAGCAATCATTCCACAAGAAGCTCCAGGTTGCTGCAAGGCCTCCACTCCTCTGTAATGAATAAACCAAGAAACCTCAGCTGCTTTTCATATCTCTTGCTCTCCAGATCCATTGCCATCTTTACTGCCCTCTCTAATAGTTTCATGTTCTGATACTGTGAGACCACCATCTGAACTCAGCACTCAAGGTGAGATCACAAAGCACAGAGCAGAGCAAGAAAACCATTTTCCTTGCTAAGGGGCACTGTTGGACCTGACGCACCTCAGGGTATGCTTGGACATTTTGGCTGCCAAGGCACAATGCTGATTCAGATTCAACTTGCTATCAAGAGAACCTCCAGATTCCTTTCTGTAGCTGCTCTCTGGCCTCTCACCCTCAATGTGTACACATAACCAGCTCTGCCAAATAAGACATAGAATCTGACACTCTTGTAGATGTTAATGTGGCCCTCTGATTTGTTCAGTTCTCTCTAAGGCCTCCATGCCCTAAAGTGAGTGAACAGCTCCTCCAAATACACTACTGTACACTTTCAGTATTTGAGCGTTCAAGTCTTACATTCAAATCATTTATAAAAATATAAAAGGAGACAGGCCCTAAAATGGAGCCTGCAGAACCCCACCAGTGACTAGTTACATCTGCCTAATAAAACTCCTGTAAGACACTAAGCCCAACTTGCCAGGTAATTACAAACTCCAGTCCAATATAAAAAAAACCAAACAAACACTAAGACTTGCCATGCTCTCTAGAGCTCTGCTCTTCTCAGTTCCCACAATTTTCAGTACATGGACAATGACAGAATGCCCTGGGTTAAAAAGGACCATAATGACCATTGAGTTTCAACCCTCCTGCTATGCACAGGGTCATCAACCACCAGACCAGGCTGCTCAGAGCCACATCCAGCCTGGCTTTGAATGCCTCCAGGGATGGGGCATCCACAACCTCCTTGGGCAACCTGTTCCAGTGCGTCACCAACCTCTGTGTGAAAAACTTCCTCCTAATATCTAACAAAAATCTCCCGCCTCAGTTTTAAACCATTCCCCCTTGTCCTATCACTATCCACCCTGGTAAACAGCTGTTCCTCCTATTTATATGCTCCCTTCAAGTATTGGAAGGCTGCAATGAAGTGTCCCCAGAGCCTTCTCTTCGACAAGCTAAACAATCACAGTTCTCTCAACCTTTTCTCATGTGACAGATGCTCCAGCCCTCTAATCATCTTAGTGGCCCTCCTCTGGACCCAGTCCAAGAGCTCTGTGTCCCTCCTGTACTGGGGGCCCCAGGCCTGGACGCAGTACTCCAGGTGGGGCCTCACAAGAGCTGAGTAGAAGGGGACAATCACATCCCTCTCCCTGCTGGCCACCCCTTTTTTAATGCAGCCCAGAACACAGATGGTCTTCTGGGCTGC